AAAACTAATGGTCGAGATCGCTGGATTATCGTAGAAATTGATTTTTCGATGTCGCGAGCGAATTGGCAATCGCTGTTACAGATTTACTAGCGAATACAAAGATTGACGCGCGATTTGTGACACGAGTGAATTTTCGCCATGCGATATGGGCGCGAAGCTCAGTCGTAAATATCTGACGAAACGTACGGAGGAAGTGAAGTCTCGCGCGGAGGGTTGGCGACAAGTTAAAGTATTAAGTAGCCCGTGCGTCGCCGCGTCCGCTGTCAGTCTCCGCTCTAATTAATCGTAATTGACGGCCGCGCGAAGCCTCGCACGCATTGCCTCCTCCTCGTCATAACGCTGCATAATCATCCACGGCGGGCTCTTCCGTTGCACGCAGAAATCTGTCGATGGAATTTCATCTGCGCCCGCGCTTGCACTTGGCCGAAATGTAAATGCTATTTCGTTTAAACGAAGAACGTCTCGTCTGGTCACAATATTTTTGCGAACTTAAGATGCATATCGATAAGCTATTATAATGTGTATTTTCGAAAAACGCGAAACACATGTATTTCAGGATTTAGATATTTTTCAGTAACTCTTAAGATTTTTATCTTTAAGAGATATTTATGTGTATCTGAGATCCGCTTTGTCTCCGCCAAAAATTCAAGAATATAAATTTCTTTCCTCAAACTTTTATATACGTTTCGAGTCGAGTCAAATTTATCAAAACGAAAACAGAGAAAATGTTAAAGACAAAGGGGGAAGGAAAAATTCGTAATGCACTTTCATTATTTGTAGCATCGTATTTCGATGTTTGCTTGCAATGATAATGAATAAAAAGCGATAATGAACATTATCCCGCTTACGTAGTATATGTAACTAGATAATTACGAGTGTAAGGTATCGGTTAATGACTGTGATCGTGTTCGCGGTGCGCAAACAAAATCGGTTAATTATAATAATGATAAAAACACGCGCTGTACGCGCTCGAAGCGTGCCATTTAACTGCGTCGGTTATCAATGAGAGAAAGAGAAAGAGCCTCGTACCGAGCCAACCTTTATACAAATTGACCTACGAATTCGATTAAAAATTCTATTGTCCTAATAACTCGAGTAAGTAGCAAAATAGACTGACGTGCGCGAAGACGGAACAGGAGTTGCGCAACTTGTCGAGCAATTTGCATGATTAAGTTCACCCATTTTTTTTTCTCTCCTGCTTCGGCCTGTCCGCGTACCAGATACTGGATTCTCACGGTACGCCAATTGGAGTCAACTCATCTAAATACCCGGGCTACCCGGCCGCCGCTATTACGGACGCGCGAGAGGAGGCCCATTATGTAACCGACGTGGACAATGTTGTCCCGCATTCGCCAATTGGCCAAACGTCGCGAACCTTTTTCAACGAATGTCCTACTTTAGAATTATGAATGAGAGCCTCGTAAAGGCGAACGCTAAATTTATCGTGATCCCGTATCGTACCATACTTATCCATGTTGTTATTACAGATAAATGATGAGATAGACAGTTTTAACGTAATACATATAGCTTAAAATGAATTAATTTTAATTAATAATTTTAGATGTAGCCAATTTTCCTGTTATTAAAAAAAAATAAATTCACTCTTGCATTAAATTCTAAATATTATATATATATATATTAGACAGATTTTAAAAAGTAGACAAGATCAATAAAATCGACATAAATGAAAATTATTGCGAGAGACGCGATTGAAATGTCGATGGAAATTTATTGCCTAATAAAAAAGAAAAGATGCATCATTGCCAGAGTACATGGAAAATTTTGAGATTTAACGCGCAGCGATATTTGCATGATTCTTCTCGTAATAATCTCCACCTCACTAATAAAGCCATTGTCTAGGTCCGGTTAGGCACGTCTAAAAGCCTAATGACTGTTTCCTAGAGAGACGCGCCAGTCCGAATACAGAGCGAATTAGAATAATTCGTTCCGTCTGGCTGCGTCACTATGCCTATGTATCGTGTAAGATTGTCGTCGTCGTCTTCTGTTGATTCAATTCCTCCCACTGTATATAAACGTAATTTTTTACCCTAATATTTATGACAATGCAGGTAACTCATTTTACGCTCCGAAAAAGATGTACTTGTCGTTTCAAAATTGAAACCGTGAAGTGCAAAATCGCGCTATATACCACGCTTTACGAATCGTTGATCACAGGATGTACGTTTCACTAAAAACTATTTTATGTCAATCGCGTTTTACAAGCGTGTCTCATCTGTATCGAAGAAAATAAATTATAATAACGTCAATAAGAGAAAAGGCTTACAAAAAAAATGTTTGCAATTTTAAGGACCGTGTAATTTTATTTTACATCTTACGATTTCAAATGTCACTTATTTCAATTATTCAACGAATAATTTTCGATTATATATTGGCGTACCCATCAGTAATAATATAACATAAAAATAATGCTTTATTATTAATAATGTATTTAATAATGCGATTCCAAATAAATTTATGCAGATGTGGATGATGATATCGAAACGATTGCGTCGCGAAAATACTACAGGCGAAGAAAAAAAGAGAGAAAGAGAGCGGATTTTGATCTACGTGAAATATGAATTTCCGTAGGAAGAGCAGCGTTACAGGCTTCTCGAAAGACCGGAACAGAATCATCCCGACAGAAAAATTTCTATCCGATGCCCACGCCAGAAGGAAATCGTTTTTTCTACGTTGGCGCAATTTGCCATGTAAATTCGATCGTAACATGATTACACGCCTTGGCAAACTATAACCGGGCTCGTCGCCGCCGTCGATTGTCGAAGCTAGAACGTCGTTCCGTCTTGATCGATCTTGTGATCGATCTTTCGATACGCATGTAGATATAGATCCTACCGAAGATCGTGCCAGATGGCTTATGGGACGGGACGAGGCCATTATGCGGTCGTCCGAGAATCCGTAATGAAATTAGAAATTAAAAAGAGAGAGAGAGGGTCTACGAGCTCGATCTGAATTTTCCTGGAATTTCTCGACCGCCTTCGTAGCTATATATAAAGAGCTCTGATAATGGATAATCTTCTCTTGCATGATTGCTAAAAAGAAAATTGTAAAAAATCACGTGGATGATTATTAGTTTAATTTAATGTCGCAGAGAGTTTGTAGCAAAGAAATATAGTATTTAAAGCTATCACACTTCTACGTAAATTTATTCCCGGATTCAAAGAATTCACTACACAAAATTACTTCTACATAAAGATCTGTTTCTCATTATATCTATGATTGCAAACCTCATTATATTCATAGCTAAATAATCTAAAATAAAAATTTAAAGAGAGAAAGAGAAAAGAAGGGAAACTATAAAATTTCCTCAGAAGCAAAAATTCAAATAAATCTCTAATAATAATAACTTTAACGTCCTTATGATGCATTGTCACCTCGCGTCGCTGGGTTTAATGTTTAAGAGCAAGCGCGCGCGTAACCCACGAAGAGTGACATTGTATCGCGATCAAATGTAATAAAAAAAATCGCCCCGTTACCGGTTGTCACATGTCGCGGATAAAAAGTGTCGATGCCACAGGAGAGAGGAGGACTCGCGTACACAAAACTCCGGCACGCACTGCGAGCAAGGCGTAGCTCGTGTTCGGTCACCCGTTAAGAAGGAAGCTCTCGAGGGGCCCCGATGTCCAAGATAAGGCGAACGTCCCCTCACGCTGTAGTTCGGGGACCAGCGGCCCCCTCACGTAATCCACGAAGTACGTCGCGACGAATTTGTTCGCCTGCCCAATGAGCCATAAGTGCGCCCCCACACTCCCGTGGACCCGTTCGCCACGTTCTTCCACATCACGACGAAGAAGCCGCGAAACTGGGCCCGCGTGCTTCAAAATGGCTACCGTCCGCATCATTGGGCCCGATCGATGGGCGAAGGTACGTGGAACGGAAAAAAAAAAGAAAAAGAAATAACGGTTACGGAAAAATCAACTCATCTCTCGCGCGAATCTTTTGCATGCGATACGTAAATTTATATGTAATTATGAAACTTTTGCAATTAGTGAGAATCGAACAAACGCGCACAAACTATGTACGTTATCGTAATATTAATATAAATATTCTAACCATATTTAATTTATATAATAAACCAGTTTTCCATATAATGCGATGTGGAAAACTTCGATACGATGTTTATCGTTGAAAATTTTCGTGGTATTATAACGGAGGAGAGGGATGGTATATACCTTGTGATATCGATACTTATCGGAAAATATAGATCGTAGCACACACGTCGGCGAAGAAAACATTAACAAAACGTATTATGCAGTAATTTTTACACGCAATGCGAAAACTCTGCGGACGCGGCCAATTAGGGAAATGGGATGCAGCATTCAACAAAAATATACAATATACGTCGAAATACCATGGAAAAGGCAAATTTATTACATCCCGTCTTTGATTTTTCGTCAATCGAGCTTTTATCTCGTGCGTCCTTTATATTCACGTATTACAATATATCATATGTTTTACATTACATGATAATTATTCGAACGCGTTATGGGCAAAAAAGATTTATTTATTGAATGTTTAAGCTTTTAAGGAATGATCTTGTTAAGCGCGGATCCCTGCTTATCACGCACGCGTCCGAGGTAATTGCCCGGGGTCATTTGTTACCGCAAATAAAAAGTGTCGAATCCGGTCCGAAAGCGCGAGACCGTCGGTATATGTAATTTGTCGATCGAATAATGCGATGTTAATAGAATGGTGTATTGGGTACACCGACCTCATAAATCATTGTTAATTTGGCAGAACCATTCAATCGCCGAGCCTCCTCCTATCCTCTCCTCCCCCCTCTCTCTCTCTCTCTCTCATTTCTTTTTCTTTTCTCACCGGCGATCCTTCGACTGCTCCTCTTCGTGCCGGCTCCTGCCGGTTGAAGGGATCCGAAACGATCGTAAAAAGCGAGGGCCCCTTCGATGACCGCTGGTGGATGTGGTCGTCCGCGAAATTGCCCCTCTATTTTTGTAACCTACCTACTGCACACGCTCCCGTTCGCCTTTTTGTTTCCGCGCATTTTGTTGGCTGACCTTCTTTTTCTCCTCGCAAAATTCAGCTCCATGTGATATCGCACGCTTAATAACTAACGAATGATCTTTTATCGCTGATGAATTGATGATATTCATTGCGATGTTTATTTATTATTATAAATATCATTAAATATCTCGAAATGCAAGCCAATTAGATTATATGCGATAATACATAAGAAGCCGCGTGATATATATATTATTGCTTAAATTAATGAATTAACGTGATAGATACATTATCATGTATTACATAGTAATCACTTATTAACGACTCTTTGGCAAACCGATAATTTGAGTAGAATCTACCTGTCAAAAACTCGAAGGAGAAATTAGGTTGCTATACGACAGTGACAGTACAAATTAGGCTCGACAAAGAACAATCTTGTCGGACCTGTTTTTGTTTTTGCCACGTTACAAGAGAGGAGATCTCTTCTTCTTAAGAATCTCTTCTAAATGACGCATCGGGACCCGATGCGAGCTTTCACCGATCGATAAGTCAGCGAACGAGTCGGACACATTCAACATTGTGCGTCGACTCGCGGTTGAGCATGGTGGAAACGGTTATCCCGAATTTTTGCACCATCGACCTGCGGACGTCGAGCGACATGATTGGCGGAATCATCGCGGTACTTTCATACTGGAAAAAGGTATGACGGGAGGGAGGGAGACATTGACGAGGAGGATGCACGGATGGCGAACGCGAGGGGAAGAGAAAAAGAGAGAGGAAGAGAGATGGAGACAGAGAGGGGAAAAGGAGAGTACGAGGCTCGTGTTTCCGGCCGGGTGAACAACAATGCCCGCAGACAAATGAGCATCCCGCCTCCATTGTTCGCCTGATCGGCACGGCGCAGCCTCATCCCGGTTCCGCTTGCGCTACTCCGGACCTCCCTATGTCGTCGTCAGAGGCCCATGTCGTCCTCCAACACCCGGTTGGGGGGTCCTCGATCAACCTGATGCGGGCCAACACCGATTAAACATCGCTGCTTCGTCGAATCCCCGTCAACGGGAATCTCCTCGTTCTTCTCCTTCTTCCTCTCTCGTTCTCTCTCTCTCTCTTTCCACCCCCGCTCTCTTATTCTCTTTATCTCTCTACCCGTCCGATTTCTTCTGCTTCTTTTGTACTATCTCTCGATCGTTCTCTTACCTTTTACCGTGCTTTTGTCTCTGCATGTGTGTTCGCTCTCTCGTGTCCTGCTCGTTCTTCTTCCATCAGCGCGTCCATTATGCTCCAGGTGGTGCGGTTCCATCGCGGGAGAGGTACAGAAACTGGGACGAGTGACGACTCTCGTGCGACATGTCAGGCATCAGGTTTGTGTGGATCGGAGTTACGGTTGCAAAAATACTGTAAATTATACGATAAAATTGTGATGAGAAAGAACGCAAAAAGATAAGAATGCAAAAGTAACACGAGATAAATAAGAAATTTTATGCGGTTTCCCGTATAAAAAATAACACATTGATAAAAATGTGTGGAATAATTATAAAGTCAATCGATCAAACGCAATAATCCTCAATAACTTGCGCAGTGTCAATATTGTTAATGTCATAAATTATATTGTTATAAATGTATTTCTAAAAACACCACACAAACATTTTTACTTGATGAAAACAATAAGATTTTGATAAGATCTCTTGAAACTTTATGTTTAAGATACTCTTACTGCATTTCTTTGTGTATCTTTCTTATATTCCTATCATTTTCTATATTTCTACGATTATAACTTATTCTCTTACTTGCATATAAATTACGATTTTATGCGCATCATATTTCTTGTTTTTTCTCGTGCTTTCTTCAAAACGATATGAATATCTCTGATTGAAATCGTTACCACCCGTGAATTATGGAGTATTACCATAGCAATAACTGGAAACTTAATTATCGTATCCTCGTTATATTTAGATATGTCTCAGCATATATCATCGAGAGTTAGTTCTCCGTTTTGGAATATTATTATTATCTAATCATGGCTAGACACACATTCGATGTAGTTCTTGCGTAAATAATTACTCCAAAAACTAACAACAGTGTATGCCAATATCCTGTCATAATTTAAATCATATCTTATGCTATCGTATTTACAGTATTGTATTATTTATGTATGTCGAATTTTAGCGATAGAGATGAAAGAATATTTCACAGAATCGCTCGACCCCGGAATAATAGTTATTGGATCAATTTTATGAGTTATTATGGATACGCATTGCATCGCACATACGCGGCGACATACGGGTGCGGTTTCGATGGTCGATTTCCGGCGCGGGGTCCCCGATCGAGAAACTTACGAGACAATGGACCATTCGTCCATCGCCGGAGACAAATGGTCCGCTTGTAATGGCACGAGCGAGAAAGAAAGGAAAACAGATCGAGGCGAAACGGAAGAGTCTCTCTCTCTCCTCCCTTGCGACGCACAAACGATCACTTGCGATTATTACCCATGGGAAGGTAATGCTGACCGAATCGATAGTTGCTTGACTGAACCGGACTTCCGGTTGCATTTTGCTCGAGGCTGTCGTTACGATACGCTTTGATCTAATTTCCAAATATGACATCAAAATATATTTCTGTTTTTTTTTTAATAAAAAATATAGATATAGCAAAAAATATTTGTCAAACTTGATAAAATTTTGCCATTTATCATCAATTAATATATGCCAAAAATATGCGAATTATTAAGAAAATTAAATAAAATAGAAGCAAAATTTGTTAAGTAAAATAAAACAAGCACGTTTTAAGATAAATACGATTTCTGATTATAACACGGTTTAATTCAGTTCTATAGCTATGAAATTAGAAAATAACTCTCTCTCTCTCGTCATTTTATTAAATACTATTAAAATACTGATGTATATATGTCCCCTTTTCTAAATATTATCCAATTAAAAATATATAAACAAAACAAAAGACTTTAATTCTAATAAACTATCAAAAATCTTAAAAATATAATAACTAAACACTAAGCTGATTAATTAAAAGACGCATGATACAATACTTGAAAAAAATTTAGTGCAACAATGGACCAAACAACTGTAAGAAACGAGTCTTTTAAGTCTTGAGCAAATTTGATATAAATTACTCATCTCAAGTCTTTAGAAAAAAGTAGATTGGACCATTGCTACATCGTACTCTTCAATTGTAAAAATACCTCGAAAAAAACCGCTCTGACAGCGAGGTTTCCAGTTGACGCAAAGTATCTCACTTGTACGGCCAACTGACAATAAGAAGATAACGTCGTCGATTGGAAGAGACCAGATGTCGCGTAAGGATTCAGGATCCGCCGGTCCATTCACGGCAGCTCCCGTAGCGCAGTGCACCTTGCTCGAAACAACGTCGACCTCCAGGACTAAGGAAATCCGATACACCACCACGGTACCCGGAGAGATGTGCGCTACCCTACTCATCCATATTCCGGCCTGCTCCAATTCCATTAAACAACTGACAACCTCGTAGCGGAGCTTGGCCTTCGTGTACCGCGAATAAACGTTGTAATTCCTGCCATCGATTACATCAACTGATATATTGTTTATCTTCGACAGCAGTTTGAAAACGTGCGGTCAGTGAGATATTATATGTCATCGAGACATATAATAGATGCATCTAGCATTTTATCTATTGTATCATCAACGCTTTTGAAGTTTCCTCATGACACTTTTTTTTAATAATCAAAAGATCGAGACCGATAATTTTCTTAAATAAACGCGTGTGTATTTTTTTATTGATTAATGAATTTGAATATTGAAATCGAAAAATTAGACATATTGACAGAAATATCATCGGATGCGATTGTTTCGTGGGATGCTAGCCGATGTGTAAGTAACGATTATTTTTTCGTTTTTGTATTGGAATTGCATTGATTTAATTTATCTTCGGCATAAGATGCTTCGCATTGATTCGAGCCACGACTTTTCTGGCGCTCGTCGAAAGCCTTCATTTCGGCGTTCAATTCCTCGTACGGCTGCGTCACCGTATCGGCCAGATCGTCGCATCTACAATCGTTTGAAAAAGAAAATAATCTCGAGCTGTTCATAAATCATTTCAATAAATCGTACCGGATCGTTCTATACATTTGACAGGGCCGACATTTTTTATCAGCCGCGAATGCGGTCTTATCCAGGCCAAGTTGTTGCAAGACTTTTAATCCTTTTCGCCAAACATCTTTCTCCTTCATATCTTCCTCCATGCTCGATACCGACGATTCCGCTTCCGACGACGATTCATGCTCCAATGTACCTTTGTAACAAAATATTTCATCTTGATTAATTTATACTCTCGATTTTTTTTTAATTATTCATTCTTTTATATATAATTTTATATAACGAAAGTAAAAACGTGTTCGACATAAATAAGCGTTTCTTGTGTAAATATATGTGTATAACAAAATTGTTGATATATATATATTTTTACACATACAAGAGATTAAATTTAATATAACACATACACGCACATTCACAAGTTATGCAAGATATCACAGTAAAATAATGAAAAACAGACTCTTGCCGAATGTATATTATAACCTAATTATTTATATACAATTTATCTCGTACCTTTGTGAGGTTGCAAGTAATTCTGATCGTCCAAAAACTTCCAGAATGCCTTCACCTTTTCCTGTTGACTTACACTGTCTCCTCTAACAAATACGAATTCCATACAAGCTTCCTCATCTCTCGAATCCATGTTAAAATCGCGCGAAAGCGCGTAACGTACGTACAATTTGATATAACTATGCTATGACGTCACTTCCGCTCGTGCAAGTGCAGCCACACGCGCGAATTGAACGTCTAGTAACATCGAATATCGGTCTGGTTATAATCACTACTCGATCGGTAAATAATTATTTTATTATTAGAAAACAAATATCTTATCACACTTTTTCTTGTTTTTGTATGAAATTAAATATAACATTCCTCTTTATATTTTATCTGATTATAATTATTTAAATGAGATATATAGACATAATAACATATAACAGATAATATAAACCAATTTTATTATTTCCATAAAATTGGCGCCAAATTCAAATTTTTGATCCGCAATTTATGTGTTACACGAATAATAAATAATACGAAGAAGTGGCAAATATTTTTATCTCAAACGTCGTCTGTTTTCCGTCGAAATCCTTTGTAAGTATTGTAGATAAAAACCAAGAATTTTAACTAAGAATTATAACCTTATCTCGGATTCGACATTGAGGAAAAAACAACAAAATATGAATCTTACGATATAATCTCCGTGGGCGTTTCCATTGAATCTGCAGCGATCGTGACAACTGTCAATTCTAATTTCCTCGATACCGCATATCTGTCCTCGATCTTTCCGTTCGAGCACAAATTGGATGACGGATGATGTCATTGCCCCGAGATACGGTGCGCATCGCTGACGCGCAGCCTCTCAAGATGGCCGTCACGTACATCTGATCGGAGGTGTGTGTGCGAAATTCGACGCCGATTTGACGTGATAAAGGTTGAGCCATGCACGGCGCCCCGCGTCGCTGGCATGATGATCGCGCGTTAATTAATTAATCGGCATCGATATCGATGTGGACCATCCCCTGGACGCCGTCGGGTCGATGGTTCCTGTCCTCGCGACCGCCGGCGGCTCGCATTGAACCATGTTCAGCAAGAAACTTCATGTGGACGTCAAGAAGTCGACGCTCAAGATCCAGGATGTCAAGAAGGACAGCGCGACGCGTTTCAAACACCTTAAAATCGTGCTAGGTGAGGAAGCTAATCTCTCCACGCTTTACTCCAAGTCCGCGTGTAATCGGCGACTGATCGGTGAGAGAGCGTCTTGAGAGAGGATGCTTGTGTGATGTGTAAGAACTGACCTTTAGTAGTTAGCTTACTCCCACACGCCTGTTGAGGACTCCTTAAAGTGGAATCTAACGATGTTTTCCGTGCGAGCAAGTGTTAATACTTGTTTGGCTTTGTAGCGTATTCTTTGACAAGTGACACTTCTTACTCCTTGTACGCTTATCTGAATCTGGGAGAGTAGACAATATTACTTTTCTTTGCTAAAAGGGAAATATAGTTTGCTTATTATAGCTTAGTTCATCTAATTTTAAGAACTAAAAGGCACAGTAACAAATATTGTTAAAATAGAATACTTAAATTAATTATTAAGTAACATGAATATACACACACACAAGAATTTTTAAACGATAACTAAGTATAATTTTCTATGAGTCTCTCTCTCTCTCTCTCTCTCTTTCTCTTTCTCTAAATATGCAAAAGTATTATTATAATCATTAATAAATAATATATATTGTGCATGTATACTTTTTATACTCAATGTCAAATTTTAAAAGATGTACGTGTGTTTTATACATCTTTCAAAATACGAAATATACTTCATATAATATTTAATAATTGTAAAAGCAAAAACAAGAAATAAGTATTTTGTTATATTCAGATTTTTGCAAGAGAATATGTCTTACATCATATTTACTTGTTGCATGTCCTAGTTAAAAGGATTTTAATCCAGTTATAAGATTGTGGTCTCTCAATATTATGAAAGATAGTCAGTATCTAATCACCAAACCGCATGACCACATTTACCAACCTCTATGGCCTCCATCGCCAGCTAAAGTTACATTGTTGTTACAAGTTTCATGTATCTTTATATATGGAATTATATAAATACAAGTTCCATGTATCTATACATTTTTCTCCATTTTATTTCTTGGACTAGTGATAGAAATTGCCTATAAAGCATTTAAATGTCTCATGTGTGTCTTTCTATACATTGTAGATATTTTATTCTATATCGCAAAAAGATATTTCCTTATAATATTTGTTATGCTTTCATTTTTATAATTCTACTTATATTTGAAATGTCATAATATATAATTATGTCATGCCTGTCTGTTCTTCTCATATAATATACATATAAGGAAAAAGAAAAGAAACTCTGTGCTATATAAGCACAGATGTCCAAGACCAGTTATGATGTAATAGAATTTCCACTTTTTTCTGTATAAGGCATATGCATCATGAAAGAGAAAAATCTTTTTATTTTATTTCATTTCTATTCAATTAATGTAGATTATGTCTTTAAACTATTACTTAATATTGCACAAGAAACATGCATGCATATTAATTCATGCATGTTTTTATATTGAAGAAAATGTGGACACTGATGAGGCAAAGGGCTTTTTTGAGGGTAACTTCAGCCATGTCTACTTCATCCTGTACGATTGTTTTGTATCTGCTGAAGCAAATCTTCGACAACGTGGTAAGTTAAAAATAAAACTGATACTAAAATAATATAAGTACTAAATAAAGCTGTCTCTTACTGCTATATATAACGTTGAAAAGTTTCATACTAAGGTTTATATATTGCATAATTATATCACATATAACTTAACTATATAACATACACCTCATTGCTTCTAAAATTATAATAAATTTTTTTATTAACCATGCAATACTCACATATTATTATTTTATTATCATCTCTTTCATTTCTTTTCATTCTGCTGCCAGAGCTTTCCTTCCATATCGGTAAGTCACATATTATATTATTCTAGCTTAAAAAATTTTAATAGATTCAATTATTTCTTTTATATATAAATCAAAATTGTAATTATAATTTAGAATTATTTCTTTTAATTTATAATTTTGTTTGATTGAGTTATACAATTATAAAAAAATTTGTGCAAATAACATTCTCACATTGATTATTTTATTTGTATGGTATTTGCTAGAAATATTCTTTTTATATAATATAACTTAAAGATAGATAATAGTCTATTTTTTTCTTTATAGTGCATAAGGCACACAGAGAAGAATTAGAACAAGTATTGCAGCTTCTGGAAAAAGTTTTAACTCTTCTTCCTGAGCTGCTCAACAGACGATGGCAATGTCATAGTTTAGCACGGATTCTACAGAAGCTCTTGCATCCTGGTAACAGTTGGAAACTTCGTAGACAAGCCATAAGGTACGTAGCAACTGAGATTTTTCAAAGCATATTACATATATTTATTTGAAACACAATATATTTATATATGTAACATGATTAATATTTTAGGTACTTTATTTTATGGTATCAAGCCCTTGGAGAAAATGCTCCCAAGCATATACATCAGATGTTCGCCAGCTTGGTGCCTGGATTTCCACCGCATCAAGCGTCGCCTTACAAATGCGATCGTAAAACAGAGGGCAAGAAAGAAAAACTTGTGAAAACAACTAATTCCGAAGAAAGAGACAAGAAAGAATTCTATGATACGCAACTCGGACAGAGCACCTTTCATGACAATGGATCAAATCAATGTCCTATCAGCCAAGTTGACGGCGGGCCTATCTTACCACCGCAAAGTGGAGAAAAACCGCTCGACAATGAGACTGTTAGGTTTTTAGAAGCGTTACTCGAATTTATGGTCACTCAAGTATGTATAATATACTTTATTATTCGTCTTGTTATTCCTCAAAAATATTTTGCTAAAAATGATTTATTATTTACTAATCATTCGTTTATTAATTACAGGTGGTGAAAATAGAATGGCGGGATAAATCTACGCGGCAATACAAAACTTTTCAATTTTTATTAGAACGTTTCAAAGCGACATATCTTCGTCACATTTGTCCGGAATTTGATGACAACTTTTCGCTTTACAAACCTAATCTGGAATTACCTACAATGCGAAAGCCGATGAATCAAAATCAGAATAACTATTTGCTCTGTAAAGTCGCTGTAATCAAATGGATCGCAAGCTTCACACATGTTGCTAAAAAAGAAGGACTTTTTGCACAACTTTCGCAAAGGTAATCTATTTACAAATACATTATATTTCCGTGCATAATTTTAATTTATATCGAAATCGCTAATCTGTAGTACAACACCGAATGAAGAAAATGCCGAGTCAGAATTACGCCGTGTGTCTGTTACTCAAAATTCTACGGACTCGAATTTATTGTCACCCGAATCGACTATGTCCCAGCAAGATAGTCAAAATCAGGAAGATAGTACCGTTTCGGCGATCATGTTAGTCAGGGAGGTTTTATATGGGAATAGAGATAATGTAAACTTTGTACATGAATTGTACAGACAGGCGTTTCTTCTGGATTTTAATCATGCAGGAGCTATAAGAAAAGCTATTGCCGTTTATAAAGATTGGATTCAAATGAATGTGAGTTCTATGAATACTATCTAAAATTATATATCCCATGTATAGATGTTTGTGTATATAAATTATTTTATCTTGACAAACTTTTATAGGAAATTCCTCCGTTTATGTTGGAACCATTAGACGGTCATAAGGATCGAGATTCGGAAGAAAGTCAGAGAAAGGATGCCAATGAGACGGAAAAGAGTCCTTCCGAAAGTTATCGACAGACGAGATTAAGAAACGACTCTTATCTTGGCGCTATACATCGAGAGAATTTATTCATTAGAGCAGGCTTGCAAAATGTTTTGCAAATTTTCATTACTCAAGCATCAAATGTATTTTTCTTAGAGAATTCGAGACCTAATGCGTCTCCAACATTACTCGAGGAACAAACGGACAGTTGTAAAAGAGTCTTAAATGTGTATCGATATGTTGTTATGCACTCCAGATTGGAACCAGCAACTTGGGAACAGTTACTTAGGTATATTCGCGATTTATCATCTTCTCTTTCGTGATTCAAGTTTGTTTGCGACGATTAATTTTAATTTCTTGGCTCTATCAGAGTATTACTGCAAATTACATCGCTCGTATTGAGTGAGAAATCCTCTCGCCGCAAGCATCAAGAAACTATCGGCGGGAAACTTGCTCCTGCGATATTCCAGACTTTAATTGTTACATGGATCAAGGCTAATTTAAACGTGGTTATTTCTACCCAGTTGTGGGACCAGTTCTTAGAAGTGTTAACGTCGTTAACACAATGGGAAGAGCTAATTCGAGAGTGGGCGGTAAGTAAGTGACGATATGTCGCGAATTCTGATTCATACTTGTGAAATAATGTTTCCTTTTATATATATATATATATATATATATTTGTATAGAAAACTCTGGATACGCTGACGAGAGTGTTAGCGCGACACGTATATAACTTGGATTTGAATGATCTACCTTTGGATAGACTCAGCGAACAAAAATCAAAAAAGCGACGCGGAGTCGGAAGTCGCGCGGCATCGACAGGAAGTGTACAACCACCTCGAAAAGGTAGTGTCGATCAAGAGAACAATGCAGTGCCGAAAGAAAGCGTCATAGGTGCAGAAAATATATATACACATGTTGTTATTTTATCTCATCACACAAGATAAAATTTAACAAAAGAGTTTCTTGACTTTTATCAGATCATCCGCTGCGCGATATGAGGAAAGTGCGACCGCTACCGCGCAGCGCGAGCGACAACACTATATACAATGGCAAAACTCGTACAAAATTGCATAGACAACGCACGCATACGATACACGGTATTCCCGGTAGGTAAAAATAAGCGCGATTAATAGTTTTCATTTTTATTTTTTGGAATTATATCTCTTTGCCCTCTGTGTTGCTGTGTGACAGTGTGCGCAGTTTATTTATAACCCTGTTCCTTTCTTTCGCTTTGACGCTGACTGTGCCGAGTTAAAAATAACTTGCTCTGGTACTATAACAGACAGATCCAGCAGATAGACGAAACAGTAATCTCGCATCGTTCTTTCTCATAGATCTATCACGTTTGTAACTGAGCCCATCGTACTCGCTTGTTCTAATATTTAATTGTGATATGCCGTTCATAAGATTGATTTTAACTAAACAACTTTTACATTCGAGTACATCTTCGCAGTGTCTGTCCTATTCTTGTTGATTAAGTACGAACAATTTCCACACGTGCAGTACTCCCCCTATCGATAGAACAAGATATGGCGCGGTTACTGTCAAGCAGCTCATCGTCGGCGACCAGTCGGAAAATGCTGTCCAGCAGACGTGCCAAATCTTTGGATAGCATTGTTATAGTCGATAGCGAACCACCATCGCCACGATGCCCATCGCCGACACCTAGCAGTGGCGTCGACAGCAACAAAGATAGCCCCATACAAATAGAGAATATTGATGGTAGCAGTATTGGTATGTATGGTCTATCATTGTATATAATATTTATACAAAACAAACGAACATACACAAGTTTGTTTTCGTTTTATAAAGTGTGTCGACATTTCTAAAAAAAAATCGTTATATATTTGTCTTACATTAATAACCACCTTATAACATCTCATATTAATATCGAATGGTTTTTTTTATTATTATTATTATTATTATTAACAATACATTACGCTTTGATGTCCGCTCGTGCAGTCAAGGCCAGAAATTCTGAATGATACTGAAGCATCATTAAAATATCTCTTTATTGAAGCCTCTGCTTTTCGAATATTATATGGTTTTCTGCTTTGTGGGTTTATACTTTATTGAATTAAATATGTTGAGCTTGAAACAATCTTTTTTGTCGCACAACATTATAAGAGATATAAAGCTTAATTGTGCATATGGCAATTTCATAATCTATAAATAATGAATTATCAATTTAATAGTATATTTGATTAAATTTAAATCTTGTACATTTACATAACTGAAATTTTAATAGACTTGTTATATATATTATGTATATATCTTTTTAATAGATATTATTGTTTCACAGATACAAACGATGCATCTGAGAGGAGATCAGTTATGGCAGGCGGAGGAGTACGTGGATGGTTACCAGATGTGGCTGTCGTTTTATGGCGTCGTATGCTGTCAGCACTGGGAGATGTCAATAACATTCAAGATCCTGTTTTGCACGGCCAAGTGATGGATTATCTTGTGCAACTCACACAAACATTGATTAAGGTAAGAGAAAGATAAAGAGAACTCTATCTACTTTAAAATATTAAGTAATATTAAAATAATTACATATTATTTTTATTTGATTCCTGTTTAGATACGTTTAAATCAAGGAGTGTCCGGAGATAATCAAGCAACACCTCCGGCACCAGAATTGATCCCACCTTTGACAGTCATTGCACCTTGGTGCTTCAAGGTATATATATGTAAAGCACAAAATATAATATACACACACGAATTGATAGTCTTTGATGTTTACCTATGTATTCTTTATAGGCAATTCAACTTCCCGAGAAATACGAAAGTGGCAAATTGGCCGCATATCGTCTTATATGTCTCTTAACTGTGCAACCGTTGGATATCAGTTTACCGAAACAGCATCTTACGCTTTTTTATCGCGCCGTTCATACTGGGATCGCTAGTAATGACGGTAAAGTACTGCACGTACTCGTAAAGTACACAGGACCCAGATTATTTAGTCTGAATCTACCTGGATCGAGTCTCTTAATTCTGGACTATATACATGCCGCTAATGTAATACTTAGCAGTCAAGACATCGAGGTACTAAATTTTGCTTTAATTTTCTCTCTTTGAATTAAATAATTTAATGTTTATTCTTTTACATATATCATTTTTTTTTCAGGCACCAAGGACAGAAGCTGTTTCTATTATCGGTTCATTGTTATCCTTACCTGCTTAAATTTTGGTTTAATTTTCTCTCTTTGAATTAAATAATTTAATGTTTATTTTTTTACATATATCATTTTTTTTCAGGCACCAAGGACAGAAGCTGTTTCTATTATCGGTTCATTGTTATCCTTACCTGCTGCAACAGTTAAATTACCCATGTTACAACCAAACGGACCTGACATTGGAACTATGACGTGTCCAGAAGCAAAAGTAATGCAATCATTGTGCATAATTTAATGATATAATTGATTACTTGTCAGGAATGAGATATTTTTGTAATTTTATGCCTATTTTTGATATCATAGGAGCATATTGTAACGATACTCTTACGAAGCTGTCGACGAGAACCCACCGGAATTGCAAGATGTCTGGCCCTATCGAGTATTGCGATATTTGCATATAAAGAATTGTCCTACAAAACGCAACATCCAAGAGTTCCAGAGGCTGTCACAGTCCTTCTCCTTGCACTTAGAGTAAGCAAATTTTTCCATGTTAAATTATAAATCTTTAATAGATGTCTTTGTTAAAGATTATACGAAATCACAAGAATAGCTAAAAATGCACTGATTTTAACAGAAATGCCTGTAGAACTTAAAATATATAGAGTTATAGAGCATGATGTAGAAAATTCTTTATTCGATTTTAGTTGTTTGACAGTCTGTATATTTGGAATATTGCCTCTAGTTAAACAACAATACGCGAAATGCACTGCTGTTATCTATATAAATGTACATTGTTTTAAGAATAAGATCTATTTAATATCTTTGAGCTAAGTTAAAAGCAGGTATGTTGCGATAGTAGTAGTAAGGTGAAAGCGAATATCTTTTTCATTGAGTGTCATTGGCAGCAAATGCAAGGAACGGAGCGTCGCAGAGCTGGTTTCTGTTTTCCTCTAATGGATCAGGTAGTCCTACCTATTTTTTTTTTTTTTTTTTTTTTTTTTTTTTTTTTTTTTTTTTTTTTTTTTTTTTTTTTTTTTTTTTTTTTTTTTTTTTTTTTTTTTTTTTTTTTTTTTTTTTTTTTTTTTTTTTTTTTTTTTTTCGTCTCAATGTAGCTGTGTCGGCCATTTATTATGTGATGTTGACAGTTTTGGACTGATTCTTGCATATCTGATGAGGATATTGTTAATTTTGCATGGCCTACTGCTATGTGTATGTCTGAAATAATAAAACTGTTTCAGTCTGCAATGGTATCCTTTTACCTTCTGTATATCTGCTAATGAACGAATTCTTTACATGTTACTAATTCGATGTTGATGAATTATACAAAATATATAAAACATAATCTATTCTTGTCAGGAGTTGATCGATATTAAATGATTATATCTATCTTCTGTCTTCAGGCTTCGCATGTCACGGTTGCTCAGGTTGCGTGTGATTCTCTGTTACTTCTTTGCGATAAAGCCGATGTGCTGCTAGAATTGTATCCTAATGTGCCATCTAAGATAATACAGGTAAACAATATTAAGCTAATATGCTCTGTATTAAAAAAAATTTATTGGAGTCGAAGAGTAACGAGAGTTTTTATTGTTTGTGATATCTAGATCTTGTCGGACACACTAGGGCGAATGACAACGCGAGAAAGACGCGGCTCACTGACAGTGTCGATGCTATTTTGCTTGGGCGAATGGGCTATGCACTTAGGACCGACAGTATTACTACAAGTGTTCCAAGGGAAACCTCTTCTGATGACCTTATTTACAGTTAGTACATTTTTATGTACCTTTTTATGTATCGTAAATTATTTTATTCGGTTTTGACATTGTATTTTTAATTTTATATTATGTATAGGTGTTAAACAACATAGTGCAAAATAGAATTGGAAAGGAATTTATGAAAACCGCTAAGAGTAATCCAGAGGACGACGATGATTTTGATCCTAATATTACATTGGATAATTTGGTCAATGTGCCCTCTTCGAAATCACCTCACAAAGGAAATATTCAGTCTGTACAACTGGCAGCGAAAATGGTAAGCTTTGTAATCTGTATCATGCCTACATAAATATGTGTATATAATTTACACACTTTATGTTTATTTTAAATATACACAGGTAATGATGCATTTAATCAATCACCTGGGACACTTTCCGATGGGTATCGGAGCTGCGCGTCTCTCGTCGCTGGTCGTTGAGCTGGATGACGTTCCTGGAATCGACGGAGACGAATTGTCCTCTGCCATTTTCCAAGCGCCTAATATACAGCTCTTGATGCTCTCTAATTCGATCATAATGTCGTTAGTAGAATTGGCGGCACTGGAGGCACCTGGCGGAGGAGTCACAGCCGGTTTGACTACGGCCCCTTCCTTGGTCAGAGTTTTGTTGCGCGATCTCGCTGGAAAAGCTTCCTGGGACAGTTCAATCTTATACAGCCAACCTTTTGTCGAGGACGATCTACCGTTGCCATTTGCGAAGCCTGGTAAATTAATAATAATTTATTTATATGAGTTGATACACAATAGCTTTTGAATAAAACAAAAAAATATAATCGTCTTTTTACGATTTATTTCAGTTGATTGGAATGCGAAATTACATACAGACGATTTGAACAGCGTCATCACGCCTCACAATTGTACACCCAGACATACGATACGACATCGTGAGCCTCACATATTGCCGACTTTTGCGAACGCTGCGAGCGACATGGATAACTTGGACGATGTGAGTTATAACGAAGTTAACTTATTTTTGGTAATTTACGATAATTTTTATTAAATAGTTTTTGTTCTTAGCTCCTTCAATACATAGGACACACGAGTCCAGAAGTTTTGACTAACCCAGAGATCGCTCTCAATGCACCCGCTAATTCACCTCAGGGACATTATCTCGAAAGCGAGACTATCGCGACGATTCTGAATCAAAGAAATGTCGAGCAAGAACACGCGAACAATTGGAGTCAACATATCAGGTTGCGTATTCTGTTACTATCTTTGCTTCACGCAGAATTACATTAACAATTGCAACTGAAACAGTTGTATAACATTTTAAGTTATGTTTAATTTTAATATATTGCAAATTTCAATTTCAGTATGAGTGCATCGGCAGTTAGTCCACCGTCGTGCCGTCCACCTCCGGCGCCGTTTCATCACTGCCGCCTTCTATTCTCGCATCTAGGCCTGTCTGGTTGGGAGCTGCGTAAAAGATTGCATTTATTGGCGAAAAACGAGAAGCTCGTACGTGAACTCCGTAATCTCGACGGCCAACGGTCCAGAGAGACGCACAAGATAGCGGTCATTTACGTCAGCCAGGGTCAGGAAGACAAAAACTCCATACTAAGCAACGTCACTGCCAGTAAGGAGTATGAGAGCTTCATCGCGAGGCTCGCTTGGGAAGTTGAACTGGAATCGCACACGGGTTTCCTCGGCGGCCTGGTGCCCGGGAAAGCATCCGGTGTTACCGCACCATATTATGCTACATCGTTCACCGAAGTTCTGTTCCATGTTGCTACGAGAATGCCGTCGGATAGCCCTGAGAGTTTATTGCAAAAGGTATGACTCTAAACTATATATATAAGAAATATATTTCCAAAATATTCACATAATGCTTGATTTCAGACGCGACATCTTGGCAATGATGAAATCCACATAGTCTGGTCGGAACACTGGCGAGACTATCGTAGAGACATCATACCCACAGAGTTCTGCGATGTTTTGATAGTCATTTATCCGCTGCAAAATAAGCTATATCGAATACAGATCTCGCGAAAATCGGAGATTCCGTTTTTTGGGCCTTTATTCGACGAGTGCGTTGTGGAGGATAAGGTATTGCCAGGTTTAGTGAGAACTACCGCATTGGCCGCGAGTAGAGCTAAACGGTCTACGCTTACATTATATCAAAATTAGTAAGTAAACTGTTTTTTTATAAGTCGCAAGAAAAAGAACAGATCGTTGAATTGAATATTATTTAAATATAAATTTCAGTTACGAGGAAAGAGCGCGATCTATCGATACCGTTATGAGAAATCACAAAGAACCTACAACGTTCGAGGAGTTTGCGGCTAATGTTTACTCACCAGTGCAACCACTGAGCCCGTTCAGCGGAACTTCATCTGTCTCTGGCGCGTAAACTTTAATGCACATTAAATCAAAGTACTATAATTATCACGTATATTTTTCGTAGTTTAATTTGCATAATTGAATCTTCTGCATTGCTTTTTCACTATGTCACACACATTTGCCTCTTAACTATGTATATAGAATAAAAATGTTGTGCGCATGATTAAGACAACATTTTCATTCTGTGCATGTAACGTTAGAATCGCAAAGTGTTAAGAATGCAAAAGTTCAATTATATTAATTTTCTAATTTTTATTAGAAGAATATTTATTTAGTTTTAATTTTTATTTTTTCCTTATTCATTTTTTCACATCGATATACATGATGCGCAGAAACATATGTATCTCTTTAGAATTCCATGTATATATCACACTTTCTCTCTCTCTCTCTCTCTCTCTTTCTCTACAATATAACTTATATTTATGAAAATTATTATTTTTACCGATATTGTACTATCAGGCTCTACAACAAGCGTGCAATCCACAGCATCGTCAAACCTTGCGGCAGCGCTTATTGATCCACACCAAGGACGTTTCGGTCTGCGCAGCACTTCGACAGCAAGCAGTGACAATCGTGCGAATAGAGGTGACTAATTCAGTCCACTAACCCCCATCCACCTTGTAACACCATTGGACAAGGTAGTATTATTAGTTTATTTTATTATTTCCGTGCTGTTTTTCCACAGCATTTTATCTGACATTATATCCTATGTCTCTATCTATCTGTTAAGTATACGTTATAATCGTCTCATTTCTCATTTAGACAATGATATTCTGCTACAGGTTAATGCTCGAAAGTAAATATTTTGTAAAATGAAGATATTAGCACACGTATTTTTTTTCTTTCTTTTTCATAATCCTGATTCCAACTTTTATGTTCCATGCTTTCTTATACATGTGTGCAATAACAATAACAGTAAATAGAATTGCAAGATTTAATCTACCGAATATATCGCGTGACGAAAAATATAAAAATTTCAATCATATCTTTTGTTAACATTTCTATGTCTCTTAATTAACTCTTTTGTTTGGCAGTCTTGCAAAATATATTCAGAGGTAATCTTTCTATCTATGAGCATTCAAGATAGCATGTTTAAGTATTTCTTTTTTATGTTTATATATGTTTTTATATGCCGTGTTTTAAACATTGCTTTGGAGGAAAGCATATACAATATGCGAAATAATAATGTGATAGCGCTGATACTCTCTTTTTATTCAATTGCACGCTTAATTTTTCTATTAATATATCTGCCTAATATCTCACAAGCAATTATTCTCCAGTTAAAATTTTGTGTATTCTCGCTTCCTGATTGGTAATTTATACAAAGTTATAACTAATGAATAATTTTTGCATTTGTTTTCAGTTTCTGATGGAAGCAGAGTGTGGTTTAGCAATGACACCCCCGAGAGCACTACGCTTCACGGAATTTCACCAAGACCTGTAAAAAAGATGTCCTTTAAAACTGGACCAAAGCAGAGAGCTAACACGCAGTCCACTCCACCGGATAGTCCGAGAAATAAATAAAAGGTTTTTTTTATTCATATCGGTAACATGCTCTGCACAACAGATTTTCGGTGTACTCACTGAGCGTTACACTTCAAAGGAACTTATCGGGTAAAAATGAAAATAACGAATAATTATACGATAGGGTATTCCACTGTTAGTATTTCGCGCATAACGTGAATTAAAGATATATATATATATATATAAATGAATATAAATACTTATATATAAATGAATTTCTGTGAACCATTCCATTTTCGAACGTTATATTCATAATTTAATGAATGCCCCTACTTTTTATATGTTTTATAATGTATCAATGTAGAATCTCTTTCATTTTATTCGATAACATGAAGAGATTACAATCGCCGAATTATTTTATTTTCGAACCAAAGTCAAAGGTGCTTGATATTTTATAATATGGGCGAATTAAATATTTCGTATATGGAGGTATAAAACCAAAAATATAATTACAAAAAATCTCCAATCGAGATACAAGAGAGAAGAGTAAATTTGAAATTGAAAGTTATTTATTCCATTCATTGAATATAAACAATAACTATTTGCTTTATACGAATTACATCTTCTCTATCTCTCTTTCTCAGTGATAATAATCAAAGTATTAATATTATCTATTACTATTAACGAACGGCAGACTACAATACGGGATTATATTGTGGTATAACGATCGACGCGGTACTTGAGATGAGATTTTTCTAGAAGTATACATTTCGCGATAGTAAAAAAACTCTGTGTATAATTAGAATTTTTTGACTGTTTTGAAGACTATTCCATGAAACACATTCAAAAGTGTAGGTATTAGCAACGAAGAGGTAGTTAATAATTACTGATGCGCAGATCATGGCCAAAGCAGCATTATTTTTTCACTAATTTATAATAAGATAGAACAGAGAAACTGTGTGTATGTATTGTATATAAATTGTTAAGCGTATAAAATGGTTCCAAAGTCGTTTAAAATTATTCCAAATATACGTCATGTTATATTGCTATATTATATAATATGATATATTTAATTAAACATATACACATACACACACACGCGCGCGCAATATACATAAAATTCATTTTATTATCATCATATACATATATATATATGCTTTTACTGATTGTGTATATATATATATATATATATAATATTGTACTTAATTAAATATTTTCATTAGTATTGCTACCGTTATTGTACTATTATTTAACTTTTTAAAATGAATTGTTCTTAATATTAGAACATTTTCTTGTATTGCGTTTAATGTTGGCACATAAAAAGATTAGTGGATGAATAAGAATAGTGAACAAATGTAAAAAAATTTTTTCGTCCAAAGAGATGAACTTGACAAATTCTTTTCTTTTTTTAAAAAAAAAAGGAATATCTATATATACATATATTCGAGAAGAAAAGACGCCTAAAAGGAGAATATACCAATGCCCCTTAATTGTTTCTTGTACAAGAATAAAATTGTATTCTACATCTACCTATATGTAAAGATATTGTGCAAATGTTAACATATATTGATATTTGTGCGGAATAACATGTAATTATCTTATAGAGAGCATTTCTTCATTTGCAAAGAAATTAATTATTTCCAAGAATTAACAAGGCATATATAAAATGTCTTACAATGCAGTGATTCTATATTAATATAAAACAGAAGAAAGCATCGATACTAATCCATATTTATTGTTTTCTACAGAAAAGCGAGTTAAACTAAATGTATATTTATCTTATAATTATGTATAATTATCTTTTTATCTATGTAATTAACATTGTATTGTATAATAACTTTTCAGCTTGGCTCAGCTTAAAGAGCAGTTATGTGTGCATTTTATTCAATATATTTGTATAAACTTAACATATAAAAAATTCATAAAATTTTTGAATTTTGCGGCATCAAATTATGTACAACATTAATATCATACAATTTTTGAAAGAAATACCAATGATTTTCTTGCACAAACTCTACTACATAATCAACTCTTTTTTAAACTTTAACAATCTTATGCGGTACAGTAATCAATCCCATTTGCTTTGATATCTGTACAGCGTTCAAAGGTGTTCGAGAGATGTTATTCTTCTGCCATGAAAAAATCTCTGTTATTATATACAATATATTGTACACATTTCTGTAATGGACTGTATATTTTACTGCACAATAAAATTGTGATGAATTATAGCGCGAGAGAGAAAGAGATCGAGAATAATCTTTATTTCTCTATTTATGGAATATGATATTATATAAAGATATTCAATAAATAATTTAAAAATTATAATGATTCAATTTTTCAATTATTGTATCTGATAAATCGAATTCGTGTATATCGAATCTTTTATCATATACTAAACCTTTATTATATGATAAATTTTATTTAATAAAATGTTTTATTCGGTGCCTTTATTACGTAAAAACAAATGTTTGTATAATATAAAAAATATGTTAAATTCTCTTGTCGCTTTTAAAAAATTCAAAGTCACGTTTCTCTTTATTTATAAATAAACTATCGATAAGAAAAAAAAAAAAGAAAGATAAGTATGTGTATTTTGCGTCGTTTATTTTATGTATTTTCCATATTATCGAAACGAAAAATTGTTAAGGCTTATCCAGACGTACCTAACTGCATAAAAAAAGAACATGCGCAGACGAATCGACCAATTACGTATCTAACTTAAAGGATGCCATATTGTCGTATTCTTTATGTTCGACACGTGACTGGTTGATTTTTCTATGCCAGAAAACGTATACGCGAATGCGTATAATCGGGCGTAAAATCAAGCTACTTGATGCGATATCGAAGACACACGCGCACGTATTGTGTATTAGTTTGACGATACTTGTCAGAGAATAATGTGTTGTTAATTGTTACATCGTTTCAGTAAGAAGATATTTGTATTTATATAAACATCGAAGGGAGTCCACATTGTGTTTCGAAAAAGTCGATTGCAATTTATGGCCAAACAGGATCCCGTGAAGTATCCCTGATATTGGGGGTACGCGACGAGAATAATATCATTGTAGAAGGAAACTCACGACACATCTGATTGCGCTTATGAATAAATGTGTAAGTCTTTCACGGATCTCTTTATTTGCTATACAAAATCGTTGCACATTCGCAAACGCAAAGTAATAAATGCCAATTGTTCTCGAGTGATTCCTTTCCCCTAATATTATACAGCCTACTAACTGTACGTCCTAATTGTACATCCTTTTTTACAGTTGAAAGAACAGTCTTGCCGGTAAATCCCAAAGGCACAACTTGTGACATGTAAGAGGTTAGGTAGAATGTCAATCGGAGAATATCTCATAGAGGTAGACATCGAATGCTATAGCAATCGTGACGAAGATACGTAGAAATATGATGATTTTCGATGTTCCGGTGTCGCGAGTTTACACAAAGAATAAATCACGAACTCGGGAATTGAAAATCTCGTTAATTAATATATCGATGCAATAAATGTACATTATCGGATGAAATGTGCGGTGATACGACATATGTACGTTTTATTAAACTACCAAAGATAGTGCAGTGTTAAAATCTGTGTGCTTTTTTTGCACGAGTTTGTCAAAACGGTATATCGGGATATCGGGTAGATTGGGATGAGTTACACCAATTTCGGCCGAGGAAGGGGCTTTCGGCCACGAGGTACGCGTGCGAGTACGCGAGGTACCGCAAGCTCGTTCAGTAGAGCCCGATTCCTACCTCCACCTTTCCGACATGTAGGCCCACCGAGACCAGGGCGTGCCGCGCTATTCATGCCCTGGCAACCGAACAATATGTTTTTTCAGCCCCACTTGTTACGTGGTAATCCGCAGTTCAGACCAGGCGGTAGAAGAAAAAATTTCCGCTACAACGCTCGATTCGCTGCTCCCAATAGACTGCCCTTGTCTGCGAATTATGAGGATGTTATTATTCCACCGGATTTGAATAGCTTTCAAATAGAGAATAATCTCATTGACACTACGCCGCAGCTTCCCCTTCCTGGTTCTGAAGAGGAACGACAGCAGAAGATAGCGGAAACAGCGGATCGATTGAAGCAAAAATTGTCTAGTTTTAACAGCGATGAAATGATAAATATCTGGAGCGATGACATACCGCTTTCGTCCAACGTTGCAGAAGACGACTGTACAAACGACATAAGTGTCCCTATACTTAGGTTTCCACAAGTTGAACTCAATCTGACATCCAATGATCTGAGGGATATTGGAAAAATAAATCCTGATAATTCACGACTCGATAACATACAATATATATCTAATGTTACTAATAATACAAATAGCGATGTAGTAATATTAGAAGAAAATGAAGGTGAATCTCAACTAGAAGCGATACCTAACAATCAAATAGCAAATCTATCAGTTGAGAATGAGTATTTAGAAATGGACAACTGGCTTCATGGGTCAGTCGATAAGTTTCGCAATTTAGAACAATCAGATTTACATAAAGATAACAATGTTGAAAGTGAATTATTAGACTCCGATCTTCAGTGTCAGCTTAATACACCTTTGGTTAATACTTCGCAAGATTGCTGTGATCAACAACAAGATATTTCTCAGGAAAATGAAATATATCTCACAGATCCTGTGATAGAACAAGATGTATCTAAAACACCAAGTCTACAGAATATACCACTCCCGACTGATTTAACAGATCAGGATATTTTACATAAAAATGCATCACAAAGTGAACAAGAATCAGTGACCATAAATTTAGAAGTTCAAGAGAACATTTTAGAAACCCAGATTTCTGCAATAAGTTTAGATAGTAATAATTGTACATTATCGCAACCGGCAGTAGCTGATGCACCAATATTAGATAATGTTGCATCGGATAATCAAGTGTCGAAAATAAAGAAAAGTCCCTTTCATAGTAGACCACCAAAACTGTCTCCGCATACTGAGCAGGGAGAATTACCTATTGATTTTGATCCAAGTACTCCGCCACCGATACTTGTGAAGCAGGATCGACCACATGTTATGCCTCCGCCTTCTATACCTGATATGCTACCATTATTTGATCCTACAGAACCACCACCGAATATCAGACATTTACTAACATCAACAATTGCCGGCTATAGTAACAGAGAAACGCACATAGAATTAAATACAAATGGAGGATTTGTACCTCAACAATTACCGCTAGAAAGCCAAAGTAACGTTTTCCTGCCATCGCATATCGATACAATCCAGTTTTCTCCATTATTTTCTATGCCATCAGGTAATCACTCTGCCATGAATACGAATGTTCCATCACATGCAATATTTCCGATGCATACAATGTCTCATATTGCATCTTCATCTTCCTCGCCGGAACTCTTGACGCTCTCTGATTGCAATGCGAACAAGGACGACGGTTTAAATGACATGCAAGAAGCTTTGAAATTTGCAAAACAAATGACAAGTATAACGGAAAGAAGAGATAAAGAATCAGATTCTAAATCTGTTTGCAAAAGTAGTACCACAATTAATACAGTTAGCAATATAGAGTCTATATCTTTGCCTCCAGGGAAACCAAAGACCAAAATTAATACAAGGAAGAGGACAAAACGAAATAACACTTATAGTAAGAAAATATTTCAGGAACGGAGAGTGTCGAATCATCTGCCATTAGAAGAAACCGTGATACAAGATACAAATACGAGATCTACTGATACGTCGCTGATGAATGAACAAGAACGTCCCAAAGTAGTATTTAACTTAAATAATAAAACGAAAATAGTAAATACTAAGACTGGATGGCAAGAGAGTAGTGAGAAAAAAAATGGCATAATGCAATCTGTGGAATCGGAGAAAACGCCTCCAATTTCTAAAAAACACTTTAAAAGTACATTAAAACGAAATGAAGAAGAGCGGAAGAATTTAAAGAAGAAGGAGAATAATTCAGGAAATATAGCATTATCCGAGTCAATTGTAAATCAAAATGCTGTATCGTCTCACAAAAAAATTCAAAAGAATGCTAATACAGAAAAATCTCATTCTAACGTTTCGTTGTCGTCGAAAATCAATACGCAAAAATCAATAAGTTGTATAGAAAAGAATGAAAACTCTAATTCGGAAGCCTCTTGGAAAAACAAAATCATCAGCCGATTTTTGAAGATGAGTAAAAACGATATCTTCAACATGGTGAATAATACTAGTCTCCGGAAGTTTGATATTATAATGAAGCGTCTAGTCAAAGAAAAAAAGTCTACATTATCCTTGGAAATGAGACACGCTCAGAACGAAAAGATGAAGTTGTACGATCAGCAGAGACCGATGCCACTGTATCTATTACAGATCTACCCACAGAATTCATTCATCACTTAAACGAAGTATTACAACTGGATGTGCAAGTGGACAATCACGTTGAGTTTGCAGCATCAGCTTCGAGTAGTCATAACAGTCACTTGGAAGATACAAATCATGTATTCAGTCCCGTAACATCCTTTATTTCAGAGTGTGCAAATAGAACAACACCAAACTATATAAGCCAAGAATGCGAAAGAACTAAAAACCATACGACGAAAATGGGACATGACAGAGTGCAGATACACCATACTAGTAGAAGTAACGATTTTAACTTGAAAGACGATACTGGTAGTACTATTGTATCTAATAATTCTAACATTAGTAGTAAATTATCAGGATATTCGGCTCTACAGCATGATCTGGATGATATATTTTCAGAAGTGACCAAGAAAAATCAAACTCCCGCAGCAGTGAAGCATTGTAGCGCGGACCAACGAAGTGCAAAAACATTTGACGACGACGCGATTACAAGGAGCGCGGAGAACGATGCGCTCTTGGAAGATGACAGAACGCGTAAATCGGAAAATTGCACGCACTGGATCGAAAGATGCGATAGATGGAAGAGAAAGGAACAAGAAGATCCACATGCGTACAGGAATCTTACCAAAGAAGAGTGGGAAGCAAAATATGGAACTCAAGCGAACTCGATACCTTCGTCTTCTCTTACAAACAAAATTAATACTAGCGATAAGAATTCATCACACAAAGGGTGTATTAAAAAATCTTGTGCACGACGCCGTCATTCATCTGAATCTTCAAAGCATACAACAAGCATAAGACACAGAACATTGGAAAAAGACAAGCATAAAGAGTCTAGGCGACACAGCGATGATAGAAGACATAGTGCAGAATATTCGGAGTACAATAACGATCGCAACAATGATAATAGTAACAGCAGCAACAATAGCAGTAGCAATACCAGCAACAGTACCAGTACCAGCAGCAGCAGCAGCAATGATAGTAATAGCAACGCGGAACCAAATGTTACAAAGCTATTGAGGGCGATAAAAGAGAAAGAGAAGGTTGCCAAGAAAATGTCATTGAACGAAACAATAAGAGACGAGGTGAACGCCGAGATAGAGCGGGAACGCAAACAGAAGTCGAAGAAATCGCGAAAATATAAAAAATTGCGAAAACATTGCAAGAAAAGATTGCGTCATAAGAAGAAGAAACAACAGCAAAGTAAGAAAACGACGAATCCCTCCGATTCCTCCTTGGATGATAACGAGGACAATAACGAGGAAGTTCTCAAATTGCTGACAGAAAATGAAATTAAAAAAGAAATCGTAGAAAATCAAATTACGCAAGAAGTGATCGTTAAAGAAGAATTGGACATCAATCAAGAAGAGAATACCAGAGATGCTGAATTTGTGAATACTTCAAGTCACGTGATCATGGAAAATAAAGCTGCGTATTCGCTCCCGGAATCTAACGGTAAATTTGAATCTGCTCTTTTAACAACACAAGAGACTTCATTGACAACTGTCAATCAATCGCACGTTGAAGATAGACCACCGACAGCCTCTCCGACACAACCGAAAACTAAAGCACAACTGAAACAAATGCCAGAAACAGCTAATACGAATGATAACAAAATTTTTCTCAAGGTATTTACGAGCCTACCAGAGGATTGGGATACGATTAATCAGACGGAATGCTCGGAGAGTTTGAATAAATCTGATCAAATAACCGACATTAACTGCAATCGGGATGAAACCGAAGTTTTACCGACGATTGATAATTTCGCGAGCAATATAAAAAATTGCGACCATTTATTACGCGACAGTTCTAACGAAAATGCGATATCCCGATTACCGGATGGAACGGTATGCATTCCTAGCGATTCGTTTATCAGCGCTATTAAAAGAAAAGACGATATCACAGCTTCCACTAACATGTCAGACAAAGCGGCGACCATTGCTGTATCAACATCGACCTTTGAATCAGGAGCACCGATTAAGAGTACTACAAGTCGAAAATCTCGAGGAGCCTGCAAGAAGATCGACATAAAGACCTACTATGAGCGCACGATACAACGTCGTATGAGTGAGCAAGGAGAATCGAAAAGATTCGCAGAAAATCCCGCAACGTCAACTCAAAGTTTATCTTTCACGCCTAAGATCGTCGAACCAGAAATTCCAATCAACAAATATACATCCGTAGCGTACGATGGTTCTATTAAAGATCCACGATTACTTTCGGCGGCCGTTATTTCCTCGATGAATAATAAAGATAACGATATCGCACAGACGACATTGAAAAACAATATTCGGCAAGAAGAGAAGCAACCGATATCTAAGATTGCGATGATAACACCGAAGATAACACCGAAACCTATAGAAGAAGATTCTAATCGTGTTATCGATACCGGCAGCGCTGTTGAGAAAATTAATCAGGATACATCGAAAAATAAATATCCTCTTACTGCTAACACAAGTGTCAATGTATTACCCAACGTTGTAACAACGACTAAAACTATATCCTCGAAATCTAAGACAGCAAATGTAACGAATAAAAAATTGCGAAACGAAGTTCCGTCCGATTCTAAAAGATTTAAGAATATTCGATCAGAAGGAAGCAAAGAGTTGAAACTGAAAAAGGAAATGATGAAGGCACAAAAAACGAAAAAGAAATCTGAGATAAAATCCATTAGTCTCGTTGCGACAAAAGTATATTATCCTTCGGTGAAGACAACAAGGACAGAGGATGCGAAAAAGGTGATTCAAGAAAAGGAAACTGATAATGCAAGTGATATAAATAAAATAAAAATTGAACAGACCACGAGTTCTTACGAAAGTAAGGTAAACAATAATTATGCTGAGATGAAAGCATCAACAATTTTTTCGGGAAATACCGACAATAATAACGAATTATCGCAAAGCGTTAATGAGACAAAAGGAAGTTTTTCAAGCTTAGAATTTATCAGAGGAAAAGATACTAAAGAAGATGTAGGCAATATTGAAAGCACTGATTCATCGGAGGCAATGCAAAATGAAGAAGCTCATAATGTAAAAAGCGCAAATAATACAGCGAATATCGAGGTCGCGAATAAAGAAGAACAGAATGCGGGAGAAAATTATAATGTTGTTTCCAAACTCGATGTATCGGCAGTCTCTATCAAAATCTCGAACGATATTGTAAAAGTAATTAAAGAGGATTTCTCTACGTCGAGTAAACAATTTAACGCAACGAAAGATACGGAGCTCCCGTTAAAAAATTGCGCGAATCAAATTCAAGTTGAAAAGTCAAGTAATCGAGATCTATCGGAGAGCACGAATAATCCGGTCTTCGCGGATATGATCGAAGAACGCGATATGAGCAATATTCCTGAATCGAATACGGTATCTCGATCGGATATTATCGACAATACTAGAGAGGATCAGCCGTTGATAAATACGGATATGGTAAGTGATGTCGAAATTAATGGTAATAAAGAAAACAATATGGAATCGATTGTATCGGACGGCACGTACAAATCTGTTAACGAGGATAATTCTCTTCCTAAGAAAACCGCCGAATTGTCATCGGCTTCGAACGAAAATTTCACACAACAGCAAGATACGAAGAACGGCGTCATCTCTCCTGAAAGCGAGGGTAGTCCATTCAAAGGCTTCCTTCAAGAAACTGTGATAGATTTTGAACAGCCTAATTCGTTCAATATCGAATTACACGGAATCGACGCCACTAAGAAGGACAAGTTATTCTTAAATGATTGTAATATAAATTGTACGACACATATTAACAATCATGAAAAGGAAACAAAGATCGCAAAGCAAGAGAATTACGATACGTTAGAGTGTGCTAATGATATGAGTATTAATGAGAACTTTGACGTCACTTTTAGAGATAGCATGCTTGCTTCGAATAAGGAATGTGCGACGAGCGACAAGAGCGACAAATCCGATTCGATGGCGGATGAAAGTAAACAAGGACAAATCGTGGAGAAATCTACGTGCGACATAGTTGCCGCTACGTTACACGAGGACGACGATATCGATACCGGCGAAAGTGGTGACGCGGAAAAACGATTAATAGGCAAAGAGAAATACGCATCGGAATTAACGATCAAGGAGTCCATGTTTATCGAAGAGGAGATGATTCAGGATGAAACCGGATATAAGGATCTTACGAGTAAACTCACGACTACGATCGATCCTAGTTTGTCTGACGCCTTGGACGATGCGGCGAATTCGGACGACGTGCTGAGATTAACGGAAAATCAGACCGCGGAACATCTCGACAACCATAATATATATTTAGAAACAAATATATCTACGGAGAAAATCTCTTGCGACAAGCTGCCGAGTTTCGATTCCGATGAACATCTGGACAACGACATGTTTTATTTGGACGATCGTTTGCAGAGCGCTGCCGCGTTCGATAACAAGGACGAGGCGCCCTTCTCCGTTCATCGAGAACCAAGTCCTCGATACGACATTATTCCGCCAGCCGTCATTCCAGAAACGACAATAATCGCATCCTGTGCGGATTTATCACACGACGAGATACAGGAGGAACAATATAAATTTGACTTGAAGCACATTTCGTCGACAGACAATTCTAATTTACTTCCGGAAGTACCGTCAGCGGAACGTTCACCGATCATGACTGATACATCGTCAAGGACATTGAATGTCCCGACCAAAGCCGCCTTGAAGGAGGCTGCAACGAGTCTCTTTTCGAAATCTCCCGATAGTTTATCGACCAATGAGGCAGCGGAGGGTATATTGGAAAAGACACAACAAAGTGAAACAGACAGTTTGAGTTACCGAACACCAGCCTGGAATGTGGATATACACAACGGTACAAAAACGCATTCTTCAGATACCCACACTAAAAACTGTATAAACGTAAACACAATATCGTCGACGCAAAACAACACGAACGACGAACGCATTCATAAGGATATCGATGTCGGCCAGAGTAAGACCTCAAGAATATCTTCTATTAATATAGAGAAGTGCCTACATAGCAGTGATATAAAAATTAACCCGGTTGTGCAGCTAAGAAAGATGAAAGAACTCGACAGAATGATGAGTGAGAAGAAGACGCAAGAGAAAACGAGAGACGGTGTATATAAAGATCGAAGGAAGCGTAAAGGTACAATCTTACATAAATTGAAAGATAAATGGCAGATGAAGTATCGATCCGGGAGGATCGATTTGAATAGAAACAGCTTGAAGAAGAAACTCAAGAATACGAAACAATTTACCGGCACAAGAGAAGCGATTTTGACTAGAATGCTGGAAATTGATATCGAGATGCATAAGCTAATGACGGAAAAATTAAAATTGCACGAGATGTTGCAGAATAATACCTCGTCGACCGAAAGTGCCGTGGCGAATAGCGACGCAACGAGGGAAAACGACACGATTTCTGACCAGGTTGGAATAGTCTCGACATTAACGTCGCAATTACCGCAAAACGCCAAAACGCACCGTGACAAACGAAAGAAACACTCGTCATCGTCGAAAGAATCTCCGATTAAACGGAGAAAAAGCGCGTCTCGCAGTTCGGAGGACGATGAGATTACACGTTACACGCAGAAGACGAAAATGCCTGTAATTAGATGGAAGAAAACGCCGCGATTAGAACAGATAGTTAACAGACGGGAAGAGGATCTCGAAGAGGAGAAAGATCTTGATGAGATGACGGAACAGCAGACTTTGACGACTTTTGCGTGTAAACAGACGGACATCTCTCCGGCCTTGGACGTATCTGAAAATGATGCGCAACAGAAATCTGAATCGAACGCATCTGACAACGCTATGATACAGAAACCTGAATCGAATGCATCTGACGATGCTATGATACAGAAACCTGAATCGAATGCATCTGACGATGCTACGTTACAGAGACCTGAATCGAACGCATCCGCTACAACGCATTCTGAAGACGCTGCGATACAGAAGCTTCAATCGAACGATACGACGGATCATGATGCACGAGTGCAGGAGACCGCTATGGAGATTGACCGAAAGGCTGATTGTGACGTTGTCGATGAATCTTTGAAGCCTACAATCTGTTTAGATAAAAGTGCGGATAATTGTACAGAGGATTCTATTGAACGAGAGCACGCGAAACGTTTCGATATTGATAAGAAAAGCAATATTTCAGCACCGAGCAAGGTAACGAGAACGAATACTCAGGCGGCAAGCGCACCAGAGTCCATATATTCTGATGACAGCACATGGGACTTTTTCGTGCAGAACACCGTGTCGGAGGTGCACGAGAACAGGAATGTGACGGGTCTCGTCCTGCTGGATGAGAAACTTAAGAAAGAAGAAGCCAGGACGCGAAAGATGAAGGCGATTGTGCGCAGGAAGAAGAAGCAGCAGCTGAACGACTATTTGAAAAAAGTCAATAAATTGACGAAAAAGGAGGAGGAGCTGCCCCTGTCCAAGTTGTACATCAGAAAGCTGCAACAGAAGCGGGATTTGCTCGACTCGCTCAGCCAAAGAAAGGAAGACGCGAACCTGATCGTCGATCCGAAGATCTTGAAGAACGTGGACGAGGTGATAAACGCGGTGGCGGAGAACAGAGTGGAGGATCTTTACGAGCCTCAGGCGCGAAGCGTTTCTAATGACATTCCGACAACGTCCAATCTCTCGTCGCAACTTGAGGAACATCAGTTTTACGTCGATGCCGAAGCGAACGCCAATTCGGATTGGCCCTGCCGAGAGAAGGAAAATATAGAGGAGACCGCGGGACAACAGCAAGACAGTAACGATTTACCAGCTGGGGACGAATCAAATCATGTCTTTAAAGTCGTGAACCAGATCAAAATTCCTTTCAACGACGAACATAACGTGGAACCTGACAGCAGTGTTACTCCCGAAGAAACTCTAATCGAGAGCCATTCTTTAGATTGTGAGCGTGTCCCGCCAAAGGATTTTAATAACATTGCATCGCGCAATTTCGATATTAAGGTATCTGTGCCTAAGATTTTGATAAAAGATGATTTTAGCCTTGGATTGTTGCAGAAATTTAAAGATACGGAGGGCGGCAGCGTCGTCGGCAACGCACTAGTCGATTCTACGACGAACGTTTTTACAACTAACGTTAATAAATCGATGAAGGAGAATGATAAAGATACTTTATCGATTGCCAAATCCATCCAAGTCGTGGAAGAAGATAAAAGAGAAGAGGAAAGCAAAATGAATCTGATCGAGAAGAAGGATAAACATGCGGTAGATGTGAGTGGCGATAAGCAGAATAACGCGTACGAATTGCAAAAAGACGAGACAATCAATAGCGTAAGAGATGCACAAAACGCACTGCAATCAAATACTCCAAAGCCCGAATACTCTGATATTACCGAAAACGAAGATACAGACGATAGCGTTGCATCTAACAACAAAATAGCAATGATAAATGTAACACGTGACTCGAGTGTCTCGGATTCTATCGTAGAAAAAGTTAATGTGAGGCATAAAAAATCAGATACTGAATCCGAGCAGCTTTCATGCGACGCGATTGCAGTGAAACAAGACTATCGAGATGCGAAAAGTGCGAATGCTAAAGAAAAAGCAAGGAATGATAATCCTAAAAACGAATCACGTGTATTCGAGGCGATTCTGGACCATACTACCGGCAGTTTCGTCTCAATTGATCGAGCGAGCGAAAAGTCAGAAGAATCCAACGACATGTCCATTGATCGAAGATCTAGTTTGGAACGCACGACTATTTCCGTCTTTTCGTTCGATAAGACAAGTACGAAAAGTATGGAAACGAGTAAAGCACGGTCTCGTCGAAAATCCGGCATTTCAGCGCCGATACGTAGAAGCACCAGGTATACCAATGAAAATGTAAAATCTAATAAGACAAACGAAATTGATTCTAACTCGAATAGTAGCGAACAAGAACCAAGCGTTCACGAAAGAGATCTAATAACGCAACGCAGAAGCAGATCCCCTACAATACGCGATGAAAAAATTCCACACAACGTTAAAAGGAATCGTGCTGCTCAAAAAACGCAAAACACAGCTAGTCGGAAAGTGTTGGTTACTGATTGTGGAACTAAGATTGAAAATCCGGTGAAATCGCGTCTTTCTGTGGAATCCGCAGCATCGAAGAACAAGACTGCAATAATCGCGAAAAAGAGAAAACACACGGAATGGCAAATGATGAACTGTAAAGTGAGGCTGATCGACTGTAAACATACTCTGCTTAAGCGAAATGTCAATCCGGAGATTTTAGAAAGGCTTGGAATAATCGCTATTAATCCTTATGTATCGAGTGATATATCCTGTATGCCACGTGCCATATACGATCATACGGATATGTCAGTAATCCCTACTGCAATTTCGGAGCAAAGTTCTTGCTTTCTTTTAGAAAAATCCTGTGATAAAAAAAATACCGAGATTGAAATCTTGGAAGAGAAATCAATTAAAAAGATTGATGATGATCCCATTCAAGGAACCGCTTCGATGGAAATTGATGAGCAAAAGGAAGCATTGAAAACGCAGTATACAGTCCACAAAGGTCCTATTTTAGATATCAAGGTATATAATCTGATGAGTATCTGATTGTACACCTCTATATAAAGACAGGCTAGTGATAATAAGTAAATAATTTTTATTTTCTTTTTTTTTTCTAGATTTTTGAAAACTCTTTCCTAGCAGCAAGTGAAGACGGCAAGATATACAGATATAGCCAAACATCTAACGAAATATTGAATATCTACAAAGGTCACAAATCTGCAGTTACTTGTCTACATATCTACAGATCAGAGGTCGCAGGCATTAACAAGGAATTTATGTATTCCGGTTCCTTAGACGGCACCTTGCGTTGTTACAATATAATGGTAAGACTTAATGTTTTAAATGCTATTAACAAGCGTTTATTGGAAAACTAAAAAAAAACACTGCTCTTTTTCAGACGGGTGCATTGGTAAAGAATCCGGTGCAGATAAACAGCCCGATTCAGTGCATGGATCAAGCATGGGGAATGATTTTTATCGGAACTAAATCTGGGCATGTTTCGCGTTTTCATATCAAGGTAAAATACGTGTTTTTTTGTTTTAGCTCTATATCGATTTTTAAAACTATTTCTAAATCCATAGATTCCGGAATTTACATTGAATAATGAGACATTTGTATGAAAACTAGTCGTAATATATTAACATATTAAATGTATATGTTTATGTATATTTATTCATAAATGCACATTCTTTTTACATAGGTTAGCAGCATTAAAGGAAGTAGTATAGAGTTTTCAGACAAGTCTGTTCTTGCGCTTAAAGCGACAAATGAAGGTCCGCGAAGAATTCTCATCGTAGCCTCTCGAAATCAGCCGATAACTATACGAGACGCACAAACCGGCTTGTTTCTTCGTACGATTAGCGGCCAGAGGAATCACACGGTTTACAGCCTAATGCGTCATAATAATCTCATCTATTGCGGTACGAGTAGTACGTCTATCAACGTTTTTGATTTTACGGTAAGCGTATAATAATTTCTCTTTACGTTTTTCGAAATAGAAATTTAATTAAATTGTCATTCATAAAAAAAATATTTGATTACAGACGGGTGAACAAACAATTCAATATGATGCTGGAGTCGGTATCGTATGTATGCGGCTTTCCGGGCAATTATTGTTCGCAGGCTGTTACGACGGCAATATCTATGTTTTTGATACAAGGGTGAGTATTATATTGCTTGTATCGTGAATTATATAATTAATTAATTACAAGTGATCAATCTCTATGTCATTTATATTTAATTAAATCTGTTTACAGAACCACAAATTAATATGTAGTATACCTGGCCCAGGGAATATGCTATTGAGTATAGAAGTTGTACATAATAAGGTATGTAAGAGCTTAAACTATCTCTTTTTACAACAATTTCTCGTAATTTCAGTACTTTTTCTTGAATTTTTGTATTATTTTTTCTCTTTCTTTGAATTATGTTTTTTTCATAAAATATCAATAAAATATTTATTTTTATTACATATTTTTTAGTTTTTGATTAAGTGCGCAAAGATAAGATGCTGATACTACTAATATTAATCGAGCTTTCCAATTGTATTTAATCTTTCAGATTATAGCGGGAAGCAAAGACAAGCGTTTGCATTTGTGGCAAATGCCGACTCAAGTGCGTGCCTTACTGTAAAAGATATCATACATAGCACGCCTAGGAATTCTCTATTTTGAAAATAATTATGTTGAAAACTGGCCAATCAGTTAATTGTCCACAGCGATCGAATAATACGAGATGAAACAGGAAACTCACTTGGCACCGAAGATATAACGATATAACAAATGTGTGTATGTGTGTATTTTAACTTTTTCACTATAAATAGCATTATGCCTTTATTATATTTCCCGAAATGCTTTTATTTATATCTTTTATATTCAGTGAAGTTGCACATATTAGATTTAGAATATAAAATGATAAATAAAATGATTTTATTTATAATTTTTATAATACAAAGATTATAACAGAAAATGTAAAAACTATTTATGGTGGGAAAGTACTGGCTGTTACGAAATCGTTTGTTATATATACTAATTATAAGCGCTGTATGAAAGACTACAATATGTGCAACTTGTGTAAAATGTATATTTGTAAAGAATTTAGACTGAACTGATGCAAGAATGAAAATTATACTATACATGCCTTGCGCAAAAGCATTAGGCAAAACTTTCATCTTTATTTGTACTCATTTGAAAACATTGTGACATTTAAGATTGTGTGTACAATGAAATTTTTTGTCTATGAACGTAAATATTTTACTAAGCTGTTTAAAAATGCGTGTGGAAAATGGACACACATAATTGAAAATACACGCACTCAATATGTGTGATTTATATAAACTATTCTACTCTCGTTCATTGTTGTGTTTCATAAAGATTCGTTATTCTGTGTGTGTTAGCCATTCCTAGAAAGCTGTTTTTTAAAAAAATCTCTAATGTTTATATTGGCAACGATGTCGCGCTTTCTTCGATATTTAGTTTGTTACGCATATTTTCAAGATGTAGGAAAAATAAATCACCACTCTGTAACTTTTATTTCATCTTTTGACATTAGTAAGCATGTTTATGTATTTAAGAAATCGTATCAAAATGTGCGATAAGCCATAATCAATGTGAAATTAATCAAAGAAGATAATGTATATGTTTTTGTGCATACATGCTTATGTTATATAACATAGGGAAACAAGCAAGAAAACTTGTTCTTACATTTAATAGATTTTAAACTTAAGCTTTGAGGCAAATTTCTTATTATTAACAAAACAAATTATTGTCTTTATGATTATATTATGATAATGAATACATTGTATTAAAATTTATTATATATATGCAACATTTACCTTGTGTATAGATATATAACAATTATATCGTGCATCTTTTACTTGTTTGTGAAAATTGAGAAATGTACACTGTTAGAAAATTACTGCCATTACTTAGATAGTAATTTGATAACGTAACTCTCATTGTGCAAAGCTTTTTAATAGAATGCAATGTAGAAACTTTATGATTTTTTCTCTTAAAGGGAGGGAAGACGAGGAGGTGACAGATAGAAAAATTTAATTTTTGGTTTTGTCAAACAAAACTATTATATCGCAATAAAAGCTTAAAATTGTAAGTACAATTTTAATATATTTTTCGTATTTAGAGGAAAGAGAGTGTATATTATATATATGGTGTTTATATTCACATATATTGTAAGTGTAAATATAATTAACTTAGTAAGGAATCTGAAAATTTTTACATTGTACTGAAATCATAAGCTGTGAATAAAATTTTGATTTCGATTGAGGCGTTTAATTGCAAATTTAATTAAAATTATTAGTCAAAATATGAAAAAAGAAAATATATATATATGGCACTTAAATAATTTTGAAATATTTTAAATTTTTGTTAGTGCCAAATATTTAAATAAAAAAATTTTAGTCCAAATTAAAACACTTTTAATTGTTCGATTTAATAAATTTTGCAACTACACGCCTTAATTCGAAAGCGCGTTTTAATTCGATTGTCGATGAAACTATATCGTTCTGGCGGTAAACCTGTTAAATCAATAATAATTTGTCGTCTTTTATACAAGTGTGCAAAAGTTCTCATCAAGCGTGAGAACCGCAGCATATATATAATTACAATCAGACGATTCGTAGATATGTCTTAGCATAAAAAGTGAACGAAGATCGACAGGGCTTTAAATACGAAAAAGAAATGTGTCTCTGCCTTGGGCCATTTAAATCAGGCAAAACTCTCCTAATGAAAAGTCTCCAAGGAGACGAGATTGACAATGCGACTTATACCGTATCTACCAATGGGATAAATTTATTTACTATAAAAAATGATACTGGCGAATTTGACATGGTGATCAAAGAAATCGGAGGTAGCATGGCACCGATATGGAAACATTACTTTGACAAGGTACTCGTATCGCAAAATACAGTCACGCATAATACAATTTTGAAATAATTGTTACGATACATTATTTACATATTATTGTTAGATTCATAAAATAATCTACGTAGTGGATACGAGTAATCTTTGCCAAATAAGTGCAGCAGGTGTATTGCTCTATTCCTTTCTGGTAGAACCGAGATTACGAAACGTAAGAGTCGCGCTCATCTTGAATAAAATGGATGTTTCGTACCGTCAGATGAGAAACGAAGCTCTGCTGATGCTGCAATATGCACGTTTACAAAGGGAAGTGACGCAAAAGATCACTGTATTTGAGACCAGTGGAATGACGGGTCAAGGTGTGGAGGATCTACGCGGCTGGTTGTTTGACCCGGAAACGCTGAAAGCCACGCTCAATGCTAATAAATGAGCGATTATATCGTTACGCGATGAAAAAGAAAGTTATCTTAAAATGCCTCGTCCTTTTTTATTTACACTCGATCTTACAAAGTTATAAAAGTGTACTACAAATTCGAGTACTCTTTGAAGATAATATATTAATGCGTGTTGTCATATACAGCCTACGTCTCACATGCGCAATTCTAAAAAAAAAAAAAAAAAAAAAAAACTCTTTGTCAAAAAGGATGAAAAAAGATGTGCAAACCG